GCCGAAAGGGCAATTGAAAATATAGTTTTCATAAATCCCATCTGCTCCGTTTCCGTGTGCATCATGCATCAAAGTCATAAATGTAAATCTACAGAATTCATTTGCCTCTTCTCATTTACCGCTAGCTGAGATATCCCACAACGAAAAGCTTGTCTGTGAGGGATGGGATTTGAATTCATTATTATTTATTTGATAACAATTATTTCATAGTTTATCTTATTCAGTCTGAGTTAGTATTTATCGGTACACACCAGTTTTGTTTTTGAAAAACAAAGTTTCTTTAAGAAATACATTCCAGAAATGAGAATAGGTAAATTAATTCTGTGAATTCACATCATTTATGACTTGGAAGGTCTAACATGCATGATGAAGTGATGAACACGAGAACGTACCAAACGAAAATATACAACGAAACAGACTGAAACTTGAAAACTCAAACTTAAATTTTAAGTATGGCACATAAACCCAACTTATCTTTATAATTATGTATGATCTGTAGTATTCTTTTCAAAATTAATGTGGTATGATTTGAAAATATGATTTGGGAAGACATGTACACTATAAAAAAAAAAAATAAGTTAGTAATTTGGGCGCAAAAATTAAATAAAATACCTACTTTAGCTTAGTCAAGCAATTTTGACTCATAGTTTGCCTCCTAGACTGAAATGTTATGCAGGTTTATTAATATGTTTCAGTGAATTGACCCATCTGACTAATTTAGTTAAGTCATTTGAGACATCGTGCAGGACAGATTTTAATTAGTCAAAATGACTTACTTAATTTTACAAGTGTACGGTCAGTAAGCTGAGACTTTGTCAATAACTGACCAGCGATTTACTGTATCTCCTCCCCAGTGTAAAACCTACAAGATCCTATCAAGCAGAAGATTTTTCAAACAAGAATTTGTTTTGCTTGGACGATATATTAACCTTGTCCAAAGGGTGGATAAGGAAGGTAATTCCATCCGGTCCACTTTGTACAGATGGTCAATACCGGACGCGCAAAACTAATCACAACTTCACAAAGGTTCGCGTCGCAAACAGGTTATCATGAAAGTAAATCACCAGCAGGAAAACACATACCAGGAAAACATTAAATTTTAATCCAAAGCACAAAAGCGAGCACTGAAGCACTCAATTTCGGAGCTAAATTGAAATGAATCCGTTTCACAGAATACATGACACTGTATTAATAGACAGCATCAATAAATTAACCCACCACAAATGAGGTTTCTGAATAATAATGTGTTGGGGGGCTGTCCGTGCTTCTGGAAATAATTTAACGGGAATGCGAGCAGCGGCGTAGCTAAGGGGAGGGGGGCGTGGTGGGGGCTGCAACCCCCTCAGCCCCCCCCCCCCCCAATTAAAAGTTCCTCCTCAGTCGCCCCCACTGGAAACTTGGCATCCGGAGAAAAGCACGACCGTATGACCTACCACGACTAGTATCTGCAAGAACATAAATTCCCATTTTCTGCGACTTTGTGCGTATTTTTCACCAAAACACTTTCTTTTCGCGAGTGGCTGTTTATGTTTACGTCTGTTGAAAGCAAATATAACAATAGTTATTGTCTAACAATAACCATGACATAGATTTCGAACAGCGCCCCCATGCCAAGCCTCCCCATCCCCTCCCCCTCCCCCTCCCCCTCGCCCCAAAAAATGATTTTACGTAGGTCGGATGTCCGGTGAAAAACACCAGTCTACCTTTCAGCACAGATGCAATTTTTGGGCGCCCCTCCATTGTAATCTGTAGTCTATTACATCAGGACGGATTTTTTTTTCAAAAGTATCAAAACTCTAAATCTAAATTTAAAAAGGACTTTTGTCGGCCTTACGTGCATGTCAGACATTCCATGTCATAAAGATGGACGAATTGCTCTGCATTATTCTTATTTTGGGATGTATTCTGAAAGAAACTTTGTATTCCAAAAACAAAACTGGTACCGGTAAAGACCAACTTCGACTGAATAAGATAAACTTTTAAATAATATCAAATAAATATAATGAATTCAAAGAGACATTTGTACAATTGTTTTAAGTATGGTCTAGCACAAAAAAAATAGAGAAAGCCACTGACATTTCTAGAGCTTAAGAATATTAGAAACTTTTGGAGTGAGCCCCAGACGTAGGTACATGATGCCCCAAGTTTCCTTTTTGTGCAGTAAGTCCCAAAGGAAGGGCTGTCAGCGCCAGCCGACATGGCTCTCATGTGTCGCGGTCTAAAGGTACCTTAACATGGATGGATTTTGACAAACTATAGCTTGTTGGATAGCGGATGAATAGGCCAACAAGCTGACAAATCGGCAAGGCTTCAGACTTGAAACTGTTGGAGTGAGCCCCAGACGTAGGTACATGATGCCCCCAGTTTCGTTTTTGTGCAGTAAGTCCAATATATAGCAAGGGCTGTCAGCGCCAGCCGACATGGCTCTCATGTGTCGCGGTCTAAAGTTACCTTAACATGGATGGATTTTGACAAACAATAGCTTGTTGGATAGCGGATGAATAGGCCAAGGAGCTGACAAATCGGCAAGGCTTCAGACTTGAAATTTTTGGAGTTAGCCCCAGACGTAGGTACATGATGCCCCCAGTTTCGTTTTGGTGCAGTAAGTCCCATAGCAAGGGCTGTCAGCGCCAGCCGACATGGCTCTCATGTGTCGCGGTCTAAAGGTTCCTTAACATGGATAGAATTTGACAAACTATAGCTTGTTGGATAGCGGATGAATAGGCCAACAAGCTGACAAATCGGCAAGGCTTCAGACTTGAAACTGTTGGAGTGAGACCCAGACGTAGGTACATGATGCCCCCAGTTTCGTTTTTGTGCAGTAAGTCCCATAGCAAGGGCTGTCAGCGCCAGCCGACATGGCTCTCATGTGTCGCGGTCTAAAGGTACCTTAACATAATAGGAGGCTAAAGCCATGGAATGACAAGTAAGACCTTGTCAACACCAGCCAACAACTAAACCTACTACTACAGCTGCTATGGCCTGTCTAATATAGGTATATGCCTACAGTACCACATGAAACATGAACTGCCTTGTTAAAATCCTTGTTTTCAAAGCCAAGCTAAGAAATAGCTCCTTTATTTGAGGTGAGTTGCACTTACCTCTCGACATTCTTCTTTCATACATTTATTCTTGATACGAAGATCAAACCATCGGACTGTGCCGTCTTCACCACAAGACAGGAAAGTGTATGGGTCATTAGGCACATGGGTCCCATGTCCAAATACTCGCATATGTCATTGTGGTGACCTCGGCAAGCTTATGGAATAATCAATCATACGAACAATAAAATACAACGAAACATCAGACTGAAACTTGAAAATTTAAACTTTAGTTTTTAAGTATGGTACATAAATCCAAATTATCTTTATACTATTATGGACAAATAATAATTCAAAATTTATGCAGTACGACCTGCACGGCCAGTAAGCTGAGAATTTGTAAACTGACAAGCGATTTACCGTATCCCCTCCCCGGGAGAACCCCCCCCCCCCCCACACCCCGTATCAAGCTGAAGATTTTCCCCCAAGATCCGCCGGCTAACACACTCCATTAAATCCCGCTCTCATGGGAATGAAAAACCTCATGAATGTCATGTAATAAGTTGATAACTTTTTTTACGCAGAGGATTTGAGGGATCAAAATCCAACATTATTTATCAAAAAATATATGACTTAAATCGAAAATCATCACGTAAAAAGATTGCTTATGAGGTTTTGTTTTAAACATGCAATGGGGAATGCATGCATATATTACTCTTCGTTTATCACTCAGATTGACATAATGTAGATATGATGTTGGTGAAATTATGCATAACGTTATCCCTTGATAGTACTGGCTTGATGAGATGGTTTTGCATACGCCCTACATTTTGGAATATCGAGTATGGCAACAGGTGTTGGTCGTAACGATGGCAATTTAATATCAAGAAAGGGTCATTGACCGCCTCCCAACCCGTGTCATTTCTTGCAAGAGCACCAGGCTGATCTAAGACGATCCTTATTGGCCGAGTGCGAGTCACGTGGGATGTCGTATCGCAACCTCGTCCCCACGGCCTCGAGCAGTGCACTCCCCTTAGCTGCTCTCTCGATATATAATAGGGAGAGGTTGAAAGCAGACCTTATCTAGGAACGAGGTAATTAAGGTCTTATATCGAATGCCCTGGAGTTATAAGTCGTGAGATAATAGAGAGGTTAAATTACGCATTCTCGCAAGAACGCGTACGCCTACGGCCCGCGTTGCGTCATGGATACGCGTGTGAACGTCACGAAATTTGCGTTCGCAACACCCGTACAACTGCTAGCTTGCCGTTCGCAACGCCAAAATACTGAATTTGCCGTTCGTAAAAACGTGTAGAAAGGTAAGGAAAACCTCCTTTTTTAAGGCACATTCTATCATTTCCATGTATAACAAGTTATAACGAAGTTTTCTCGCAAGTTACTTCATCCGTTGTCACATTCATGAGAAAAAAGTATCATTTGAAATGAAATGCGAATCTTTTTAACCTCATTGAAAAGGGTATGTTTTATGTGTGTGTTTTGATAGTGATCGTGTTGCTTGGCCACATGTTAAACAAGCATGAATTTATCTTCATCATCCTATTACATGAAGGCATATGAAGAATTTCATGTATCCTAACCAGTTCGTGTAATTACATCTTTATGACTGTGCCATACACTCGCACAACGTAGTCATTAAAAACACTTAGTTTCTGGAATGCAATTGATGATGAATCCATTAAATCACTCTCATCTGTGCGTTGATCAAACATCCATCTCCAAGCATCTGACATAGTTTGCTTCTAATTTGGTTTTTCAGCAAATGTTTTTTTTTTTCATATAATGTACTTTTCTAGATGATCTGTACGTTTCCCGATACTTCGGTTCTATCTTGTTCGAACAAAAGATGCCTCTATACCTCATTACATCTTTTCAACAAATCTATTTACTCATTCTTGTATTCCCTGCCTATATTTTTTATTTGGAATCGAAATTAATGTGAGCTTGAATGAATTAAAGTGAATGGAATCAGTGATGTGCAAGCTTTGCTTGGCTCAGATTGCTCTCAGTTTCGTTATTCTTTGGTTTGGTAGAGCTATAAGCTTATTCTCGATAGTTTACTTTCCAACAGAAAAGATAAAAGCCTACTATGGACGGAGCAAATGACGATTTTCGGCCAATGACGACATCATCTTGTTGCGAGAGGTCATGGCTAATGATCCATACTCCTCAGCTGAACCTGGAAAGAAATGGGATGAAACTGCAGACGCAACAGAACTCCAGGGTCTGAGTGGGCGACGCTGCAGGGAAAAAACATCCCTTTTGTTGACCTACTACAAGAAAGAAGATGCAGAGGCGCTGAAGAGGTGCTCACAGATATTTTTTTCTCATGAAATCGCTCAAGTCCACTTTATTGTGCGTTATGATTACAGATATAACTGAAAGTGAGTTAAGAGCTTTGAATATAACATTGTTGAAATTCTAGTTGTTAAAACTGCTGCATATTTTTATCAACTTTGTAGATCTGGCACGGAAGAGGAGATGGAGGAGAAACATCAACTCCTTCAAGAAATCAAAGAGCTTCAGGAGGAGCAGGTTACCAGACTTGAGAGTGAAAACAAGAAAAAGGAGAAGCAGAGGAAAATCGCAGTGGAGATAAGAAAGGCGGCTTTGGAAACATTGCCTAAGAAACGTACATGTATGTGTCTCGTTACTGTCATAGTTAAGATGCTTTGATGTTACAAGTTTTTGGACATTCACGTAATGCTTTTTATTTCATTTCATTTGTTACCTATACATTGCAGCCGATGAAAGCCAGATTAGCGACTCTGATTCTGACAACAACGCCACACCCAGGAAAGCAAGAAGATCTTCGTCGTCCTCAGATCTGATGATGTTTCTTAAGTCGAAGGCAGAGAAAGAAATGTCACTGAAGGAGCAGGAGATCAAATTGAAGAGTGAACAACTGGCATTTGAGAAAGAAAAGTTTGAACTAGAAAGAAAAGAAAGGGAAAAGAAAATGGAAGCGGAAAGTGAGGAAAGAAAGATGATATCATAATGGAATTCATGAGGAGGCAACTTCTAAAGTAATTAGGCTATACATGTAGATATCGAGATGAAAAAAACTCGTCTGGTTTATTAACAAATTCTATTTGGGCTTCAATATTGAAATAGTAAGAGTGTATTATTTTGCAAAACGGTTTTTAAGTTTAATGGCTTTGTATTTATTGTAATTTATTGTAGCTATTACCACAAACGCACTGTAAACCCCGGACTCTTGCCGTATTCATGTGACAGAAGAATTTAAAAAACCTTTTGAGCTAACGACTTTTAGTTAAAGCCTGTGTGTCTAATAATCATCTTTCAAATGCAGTTGTAATTTACTCAATTATAACATTACGCCAAATACTCTTCCAGCCGTGGGGGCCTGACACCAAAGTAATCTGAATTCTGGGAACCGCAGAGGCATGTGTGGCAGTTGGTCATCAAAACCGCAACTTTGTACGTTTTGCCCACAGATTGCAAGTATAATTTCTGATTTTTCTTGAAGTCGACAAAGGCAAACAATGATACGACCTTCCCAAATGCCCACTCGACACATTCACGAACACTGCTCATTTTCTTGTTGAACAGCCGCTGGTCCTCCGTTAGATTCGCTCCCTTGAATGGCCCTTGTAGCTGTAGTCGTAACGGGTAAGCTGTATCCCCGTTTAAGCGGAATGTATCCCCCGATGAATGGTCGGGGAGCATCTGAAGATCTTCCATGAGGTTGCTTTCGGTTAGCAAAGCTGAGTCGTGGCGTCTCCCTTCCATTTGCCCGAACATGTTGGCAATCAGGCCATTAGTGGTGACGACTGACTGGTATTTGAGAGCGTGCGTTCTCTTATGGCCGTTGTATACCTGTTGAAAGAAGGCAATCACTTTAATATGAAAGTTTCCCATCTTATCAGACTAAAGATAGTCACAACTATTATCTTACACGACTTGAAGCTTTGCATAGCGGATGAGATAAAGTATAAAGTTTGCGGGTAACACCAAGTGGAAAGAAATCTCTTCTTGGAAGAAGTGTGGAGGCTAAAAAGAACCGGTTGGTTGAGTGTAGAACTCAACGTTTCAGACAGTGTGCTCTGCCTGTCCTCACTCAACCTCCTGAGGACGGACAGAGCACACTGTCTCAAATGTCGAGTTCTACACTCAACCAACCTCTTTTCGGGACCACACTTCTCCAAGAAGAGATGTCTTTCCACATATGGTTTTACCCGTAAACTTCACAATTTATCTTACATGGGGTTATCGGCTTAAGTTTGCCCTTACGATTATTGACCGAAATGGAGTGCGATGGCCTAGCGGTTAAGAACACCGGACTCACGTTCTGGTGTTTCAGAGGCAACAGTGACGTGGGTTCGAGCCCGCCGGCGGACACTTGTGCTCTTAAGCAAGGCACTTAACCATTATTGCTTCGTCCTTCGGATGGGACGTTAAGCCGTAGGTCCCGTGTTTTGTATAAATGCACGTAAAAGAACCCAGTAAACACTTATCGCTAAGAGAAGGGGTTTGCCCCTGTGTTTCTGGCCTCCTGTATAAACTCCTACGTGGAGTATTTAGGAAAAGAACCAACCAAGAACCAAGAACCAAGAACCAAGAAATCAAAACAAATTCTTCCTACTTCTCGTTGATGTCTGCCAGGTCGACAAATCGGGCGTGCGGTACCATCAATGAATGCCCAGATCGATGTAAGTGGACTCCCACGTTGATGGATGGCATATGCGAATTCTTCCAATGTGGGACAACCAGGGCTGATTGAGATCGAATAACTTATCTCCAGCATGTTCCCATATGATATCTTGGATGGCATTGATCATTATGGACAACTCTTCAGGATGACGGCCAAACAGTCTGCTAAGATCTGTCAATCTGTAGTGTAACAAAAATGCGACGTTATAGTCATATTTAGAATTGTGTTCAATCAGTTCCCTTTCCCCTTTTCTTTGATATGCATTGTTACACATTAATAAAAGTAAGCTGAACCAAATGCATACAAAAATTGTACAAACTATAATGATAATCTATAAAAAGGTATAATACTAAAAGTGTACTATTTTAAACGAACCTGTTTGGGTACGCCAGACGTCTAAGCAAGAAGAACAAGGAATTCTGGCCAGATACTGTGGACTCGTTGTAGCAAGTGATCTCATGAGGGATTCTCAGTAGTCTAGTTCAATTCAATTTCAATTCAAGAAACATTTATTTCATACTCCTTTAGAGAAATACATCAATAAACAAAAGGTTTTGGGTACATAGCAAAATAACGAATTCGATATATGTGTCACACACAAAAAATTTAATAAAAGTAAACTGCGCTATTAACAAGTGTCAAATTAAGTTTGGTTTATGTACAGGAGAAAATAGGAGTATGGGGCTGTTTGAGTAAGCCGAGGCTTGTAAGAAACAGCCTTTACAGACAACAATAACAACAGAAAAACAAAACTATAACGAGACACAGACAATACAGACAAGACAAAAGTGACACTACTTAACCTGACAGGATATGAAAGTACAAAATGAGTAAATAATTGGAAAAGCAATGAAGTTGAAGGAGCTACAATTAACATGATGAAAATAATAAAAACGATGAAAATGCATAGAAATCAGGTTGGGAAGCTATGCTACATACGAGGACAGAAGGAATTTCTTGTACCGTGATTTAAATCGCCCCACGGAAGACAGTGTTCTAATGCTGGGATTAATAGTATTCCATAATCTGGGACCATGGTACCGAAGAGTGTTAAGGGAATAAAGAGTGCGAGTGAATGGAATGTACAGGCTACTGCTTGATCTAGTAAAGTGACTATGGGTGTTTTGTACTGAGGAAAGACGAAAATGTGCTGGGGAGAAGATTGTTGGTGAATTTGTACATGAATATAGCAGTGTGAAATTTATTAATATCAGCAAGAGTAAGAGTGCAAATAGATGTGAACAATGTTCTCTTGGCGATGAAAAAGTGCAAATCCGAACAGCCCTTTTTTGTGCAATATTAAGTGGATATAACTTGGTATTACTGGCACGAGCCCAGACAATGTTGCAATAGTTCAAATAGGGTAAGATGATAGCCCTGGTGGACTCCCTTTCCTCCCTACGTTACGGAGGGAGTCCTGAGTACACATGTGCTCACAACCGAACGAAAACATTTCTGACCAATAATTTCAATATTTTTACCTTGTTGGAGAAGCTAATTTTTACGTCGTAGTATTCTATGTGTCCTTATCTGTTAGTACGCTGGGTTCAGGAATTCCATATGCGATGCTGACTGACGTCAATCAGGAAAATAAACTCGAAAGCATCGTTAAACTTGTACGTGTTTAGTCTCTTTTCATCAGTTTCTCACCGCCGAGTCTATTCTAGTCGTACATCATGTACGTCTGTACGGTGCAGCGTGTAGTCTGGTTCCCTAGACCGGACAATTATTCTCGACGCTCATTATCACATCTGGTCCGGGGGACAGACTATGCTGCATGAATATGCAGTGCGCACGCGCGATTTGCTTAGTAACCACCCTCATACGCACGCGCACTTACTTGAAGGTGAGGTCGCTAATCCAATGACCGAGCGTGTTTTCGCGCCAGTTACCAGAAACACGTTTCGGCTTTGGTCATTGGTTGAGCGTTTTCCTGACATCGGTTGGCTGGAGTGACGTCACGGTTCCAACCAAAACTAAACAAATGAGGGCGCTTAGCGTGCGTGCGCGCTTTCGGATTGTACGCACGTACATTTGTACATATCATGTACATTGTACATGACGTACGACTCTGGGAATAAACTGATGAAAAGCGACTACAAACACGTACAAGTTTAACGTTGCTTTGGAGTTTATTTTCCTGATTAAAGTCAGTCAGCATCGCATATGGAATTCCTGAACCCAGCGTGCTAACAGATAAGGACACATAGAGTATGTAGGCGTGAAATATTAGCTTCTATAAAGAGGTAAAACATAACAAAACTCTGGTAAAAATGTTGTATGGTTTCATGTAGAAAAGTCTTGTCCTGGACGTTAGTCGTATTGCAATGAAGACTTCGTCCAACCTGGGCTAGGTAAGATGAGAGTGTTATAGAGGAGGGGCATAGAGGACGACAGTTAGCTGTCTTACCTGATCATGGCTAAATCTAAATAGGTTTAGACGATCACTATCAGTGAGGCTACTCGTGTCAAGCCTTGCGCAAAGAACTCTTGGTACTTTTACTCGTAGAGCATGCTCCAACAAAATTAAGTCCTCATCGGCATCAGTTAATTCCTCACTTATCAAATACGCAAACGCAGTATCGTCGACACTCGCTGCCATAGTTGTTCCCGTGGTGGTTGTACGAACACGTACTTCAGCATGCAGGGGCTCGGACAACTTAAACTCTTTATCGCGTCCTCGAAGCTTCCACTACGCGTTGCCGTATGCGTTTAGTAGAAATGGTCCATCATTTGCAGCCATCCGAAAAAGTAACTGGCGTATTATTGTTGAAAAGCATACTTGGTTAAAAAATAGTAAGTGGACTAAACTCCCTGTGAAATTAATCTTTCTGGCAAGCTATCATGTTTACGGTGGCTGATTTCCGCCAAGAATACATTTTTTTTTATTACGGCGTTATAACGCGATAAATAATTTTATCGCGTTATAACGCCGTATTATCGCGTTATAACGCGCTATTATCGCGTTATAACGCGCTAATTTATCGCGTTATAACGCGCTATTATCGCGTTATAACGCGCTAATTTATCGCGTTATAACGCCCTAATTTATCGCGTTATAACGCCCTAATTTATCGCGTTATAACGCCCTAATTTATCGCGTTATAACGCGCTATTATCGTCCTTACATTGTACTGTTTAAGTGATTTTGAACGGGAACCTCGTATTTTGAGTTTAGTAGGAAGGGGCGTAATCATACATGTCGCCACTACATTTTAAGTTAAATGGAATGGAGTTTGGCCGCCACCATGCATTTAAGTTTTTATCAGACTTGTGTTTTCTTAAAAAGAAGTGGTTTTCTGGCTAGTAAAATAGCAAGGAAGAACCGGTTTTGTGCAAGCAAAATTCAGGGAATAATCTGTTGATATTAATAACTTGTTGGAAAGTTCCAAGGTCATTCCAAGAAAGTTGCCGCCGTGAATTAGGGTTTAAAACATGGGAGGGGGATGGGATTTGCTATCAGCATCAGCAGGGCCGTTCCTCATTCTTTTCTTTTTATGGGATGTATGATAACATTGGAGTACGAGGGGCTCTGCGAGCTGATGAATCTTTTTTTGAAAACATTGTGTTTGCAACCAGCTAGGGAAGATTTTCGTTTATTTAAGACTTACAAGCAGTGCGCACGCGCACGCGCGATTTGCTTAGTAACCACCCTCATACGCACGCGCACTTACTTGAAGGTGAGGTCGCTAATCCAATGACCGAGCGTGTTTTCGCGCCAGTTACCAGAAACACGTTTCGGCTTTGGTCATTGGTTGAGCGTTTTCCTGACATCGGTTGGCTGGAGTGACGTCACGGTTCCAACCAAAACTAAACAAATGAGGGCGCTTAGCGTGCGTGCGCGCTTTCGGATTGTACGCACGTACATTTGTACATATCATGTACATTGTACATGACGTACGACTCTGGGAATAAACTGATGAAAAGCGACTACAAACACGTACAAGTTTAACGTTGCTTTGGAGTTTATTTTCCTGATTAAAGTCAGTCAGCATCGCATATGGAATTCCTGAACCCAGCGTGCTAACAGATAAGGACACATAGAGTATGTAGGCGTGAAATATTAGCTTCTATAAAGAGGTAAAACATAACAAAACTCTGGTAAAAATGTTGTATGGTTTCATGTAGAAAAGTCTTGTCCTGGACGTTAGTCGTATTGCAATGAAGACTTCGTCCAACCTGGGCTAGGTAAGATGAGAGTGTTATAGAGGAGGGGCATAGAGGACGACAGTTAGCTGTCTTACCTGATCATGGCTAAATCTAAATAGGTTTAGACGATCACTATCAGTGAGGCTACTCGTGTCAAGCCTTGCGCAAAGAACTCTTGGTACTTTTACTCGTAGAGCATGCTCCAACAAAATTAAGTCCTCATCGGCATCAGTTAATTCCTCACTTATCAAATACGCAAACGCAGTATCGTCGACACTCGCTGCCATAGTTGTTCCCGTGGTGGTTGTACGAACACGTACTTCAGCATGCAGGGGCTCGGACAACTTAAACTCTTTATCGCGTCCTAGAAGCTTCCACTACGCGTTGCCGTATGCGTTTAGTAGAAATGGTCCATCATTTGCAGCCATCCGAAAAAGTAACTGGCGTATTATTGTTGAAAAGCATACTTGGTTAAAAAATAGTAAGTGGACTAAACTCCCTGTGAAATTAATCTTTCTGGCAAGCTATCATGTTTACGGTGGCTGATTTCCGCCAAGAATACATTTTTTTTTATTACGGCGTTATAACGCGATAAATAATTTTATCGCGTTATAACGCCGTATTATCGCGTTATAACGCGCTATTATCGCGTTATAACGCGCTAATTTATCGCGTTATAACGCGCTATTATCGCGTTATAACGCGCTAATTTATCGCGTTATAACGCCCTAATTTATCGCGTTATAACGCCCTAATTTATCGCGTTATAACGCCCTAATTTATCGCGTTATAACGCGCTATTATCGTCCTTACATTGTACTGTTTAAGTGATTTTGAACGGGAACCTCGTATTTTGAGTTTAGTAGGAAGGGGCGTAATCATACATGTCGCCACTACATTTTAAGTTAAATGGAATGGAGTTTGGCCGCCACCATGCATTTAAGTTTTTATCAGACTTGTGTTTTCTTAAAAAGAAGTGGTTTTCTGGCTAGTAAAATAGCAAGGAAGAACCGGTTTTGTGCAAGCAAAATTCAGGGAATAATCTGTTGATATTAATAACTTGTTGGAAAGTTCCAAGGTCATTCCAAGAAAGTTGCCGCCGTGAATTAGGGTTTAAAACATGGGAGGGGGATGGGATTTGCTATCAGCATCAGCAGGGCCGTTCCTCATTCTTTTCTTTTTATGGGATGTATGATAACATTGGAGTACGAGGGGCTCTGCGAGCTGATGAATCTTTTTTTGAAAACATTGTGTTTGCAACCAGCTAGGGAAGATTTTCGTTTATTTAAGACTTACAAGCACTGGTATGAATACCTGTGTAGTTATATGACTAAACTGCCTAGAGCGTATTTTTTTTAGGTTTTTTTTCCCTTTTTTGGAAATTCAATACGCATATAGGGAGTAAAATCAGTTCCACTGCTGGGTTGCGGTGATGGGTGGGTTATAACTTGTCAACACATAGCGGGCCCATTAGATTGGTGATAACCGGAGAGCGGGAGTTTCAAAAAAAACTCATCCGGTGTTTAGGCGACGCAGGGACTGGTTTGTGTACATGTGGTTTTTGTTTCTAGTTCACTTAATGTTTTGATTTATACCGGTGGTAATATGCCGTCCCACCTGTTTTTCTTTTTTGTGTGTCGGGGGAAACAGTGCATATTTTCTGTGCCCTTTTTACGCACTTCATCAGTCACCCTTTGTTTAATTCTTTTGTACGTATTTACTTTATTGCTAATGATGGTAAAGAATATTTTACGCGTTAGCTTTTCTTGTAATGATCAGACTAAGTGGATTCCTTATTTTTTATTTTTATTTCGAAATCCATGCCTAAATGACCATTATGTTAGTTCTGTTCTTCAAGAAGTTCCAAAAGGATTTGAACGTTCTCCTCATCCAAGTTTTTTTCTTGGTTGGA